TAGTTCAGACTGCCCTGGAATTCGCTATGTAGCCCAGGCTGGTTTCAAACTCACAGCGATCCTCCTGCCTCAGCCTCCTGAGTGCTGGGATTACAGGGAAGAGCCACCATGCTCGGCTTTCACAATCAAATTTTAAGCAGAAAATAGTAACTGTTTTAGTTCTGTAAAACCTGAATTTACAGACTAGACCCCTTTAATAAGTAGCATACTGCTTATTTTTCTCTACCTAGAGAAAATTATCATTGCAGAAAACTGGAACGTAGTTAAGTAAAACATAGCAGCAGCTGTCAAAAGGTTTCTTGTAACTATACCACTGAGAAATAATCAGCAATAAAGGTTCTGGCTTACATTTTCAGAATTCATCCACTGGATCACCCGTCTGTTACAAATGCATGTGTACGTATGTTTATATTCATAAAATAGATAAAACAACTGGCAGAATCCTCCCATACTAGCTTGGGAGACTGGGCTACCTGCAGGTGCTTGGGGCTGCGTCTTACCACCTCAGGGCAACAGGTGGTACCTGAAATTATGTAAGTGGGACCCCAGTGAACTGTAGAAGAAAATGCCTGCATTCCCCACGAAAATAACCAGTTTCATTTCACTCAAGTCTTCTCTGAACCAGTGGCTTCAATAAGCAAGGTTCTCAGCCCAAGACTGCTCACGGTGTCCCTTAAAACGGTGGCACGAGACCTGGAACAATCAAAGCACCCCGTAAACATCTGAAACGATCTGTACTTACCTTCCGAGGCTTCACCTTATCCTGCACATCGTACTGGCCAATCCCTTTATAGCTGATTCCAAGCCACCAAGGAAGTCCTTGTTTATCCTAGAAGACCGAAAAGCATGAGAACCAACACCTAGTTGTTATGCCTTCCAAAGGTGAAATAATATTTACCAATTTTTTCCATTAACAAGTATGAACAAGTTCAAAATAAGGCTGTTTTGATAAATAAAAGCACTACTTTTAACTTTGCTACAAAAATGCTTTCTTAGTGTTTCTTGTGATAAGACATTTAAGTCGAAAGAGACCAACGCTGGTAAAAACCATAAAAAGAACAAAGCAGTACTGTTTCGATTAAACATTTGAATAGAATAAACAAAATGTAAATGATTCAACCAAAAAATTTATCCAAGCTGGGTCTGGTGGCACACACCTGTAATCCCAGCACTCAGGAGGCTGAGGCAGGAGGATCACATAGTTCAAGGCCAGCCTGGGCTACAGAGTGAATTCAAGGCCAGTCTGAACCACATAGTGTGACCAGATCCAAAAGAAAGAAAGAAAGAAAGAAGGGAGGAAAGAAAGAAAGTTAAATTAGTGCAAAGCTAGTTATCAGTTTAAAGAAAAAGCCTCTGTTCTCTCGATCCATAACCAGTTATAAAGGTTGCGGAAGTTTCCAGAGAATTACAAAGATGAAAGGAAGTGGTTCCAAACCCTGATACAATGAACAATGAAGGTAAGAATATTTTTAAAAACCTTCTGGGGGAACTGTACAATTCAATACCAGGATGTTTGCATAATCAGTCTGAGGTACTTATGAGCAGAGAACCGATATACTTTCTCAGAAATTTGTTTCAGCTTTTGCCAAAGGAAAGGATGTTTTGACCCAGGGACAGAAAAATTTAGGCTTTGTCATATACCTATATGCAGATTAGGATCAGCAGAAACAAAAGTTTAATTGGAAACATTTAAGTGCAGGGTGTCCTCATCGTGTAAATATTTATCTAGTTTCCGAAGGTCTGTGATGGTAAAAGATGTGAAACAATCAAAAGTCACTAAAGAACTGGTCAATTTTATAGTTATTCTTGGTCTGGGTTGCAGTTTAATGGTAAAGCACCTGCCTAATATGTGTTAGGCCCTGTGTCTGATCCCTAGTACTGCAAAAAATAAATACTAAGTACTGTAAATAAATAAAAATGATTTCTTTCAAACAAGACTCCCTTCTTAAACCGTACTCTGTCCCTTATCATTTCAAAAATACTTCTCAGTCAACCTCTTTCTGCTTTTAAACGTCTGAAAATACAGGGCCAATACTAAATGTACTGATGGAAAAGTGGCATTGCAGATCTTGTAAAAACAACAGCATCTCTGAAAGCTGTTGAAAGGACAGCAGAGAAAGCAGGATCCTCACCAGTGGCACTAACAAACGAAGACCTGATGGTGTTAAGAGGGTGATCAACTGGAAGAGAAAAATCAGCAAGGGTTTAAAAAAAAAAAAAAGGTCTAGGGCTGGGGGTGCAGGCAAATCGTCAACTGAGCACGCGAGAGACCCTGGGTCCAAGCCCAAGCAAGCCCCTCCTTCACAAGGAGAGAGGACAACCTGAATGTCTTAAAAGAGGCCTTGGTAAGACACCTGAACGTTTCAAGTATTTTGCAAAAGTAAAGTGCTTTATAATTTGCTAGACGTGGTAAGATATGATCAGGCTGTAAAATGTTAAGGAACACATTTTCAACTGAGCACGCGAGAGACCCTGGGTCCAAGCCCAAGCAAGCCCCTCCTTCACAAGGAGAGAGGACAACCTGAATGTCTTAAAAGAGGCCTTGGTAAGACACCTGAACGTTTCAAGTATTTTGCAAAAGTAAAGTGCTTTATAATTTGCTAGACGTGGTAAGATATGATCAGGCTGTAAAATGTTAAGGAACACATTTGATTTGAAATGCCGTAATGTTTTCCACAGATAGTTTACATACACACGTATGCGGATAAGTGATTTTAGAAAGGTGCCTTTGTTCAGTAACTCATAAAGCAGTGAGGTCACTGAAAGCTCTGTCATGTAAGAAGTATTTACCTTCACTGCATAGTAATGGACTCCGTAAGTTGGCAGAGCTTCTACTATTTTCATGTACCTGGGGAAGAGGAATACATATCACAATCTTATTACTCTAGTCAAAGGTCTCTTTCAGGAAAAGTGACTTAAAGGAACACAACTTGCTTCTCCTTTCCTCATGTAAACTACGACTAACGTCTCTTGACTCAAGTAGAAATAGAACAGATCACTATAGGGATTCATGTAGTCTACACCTTATCCCATATGTTAGGAACTTTCTAACAAAGCCTCAAGTTCACAAAGCTATAGGAGGTCTTACTTCCTGCGAAAGTTCAAGCCTAGCGTGGGCAATGTGGACTTAGTGCGATCCTACCTCAAAGTAAAAATTAAGCCAGGCACGGTGGTACACATCTGTAATCTGAACCCTCAGGAAGATGAGGCAGGAGAATCACTGTGAGGTCAAGGCCAACCTGGGCTACTGAGTGAGATCACGACCAGCCTGAACTACACAGCAAGATCCTGTCAAAATGTAAGCAAATAAATAGGACTAAGAAGAAGCTCAGTACGATGGCCTTGGGTTCATTCAGTCCCTGGTGTCACACACAAAAAATCTGAGTTGCAAATATTTTTAAAAATAAGCATCTAATGATACAACAGGGAGAGTAGACTTAAGGGTCACGCTTATCATCATAGATAAAAAAAACAAAGCTAGGGCCGGGGATTTACCTCATGGTTCAGTGGCCTGCCTTGCAAGTGCAAGGACCCGAGTTCAATCGCTGGTGCCAAAAAAAAAAAAAAAAAAAAAAAAACA